TTTTTTTTCAATTACTGCACTATGAATGTGATATGTCCAAAGTACATAATGCATGTATATTCAAAATTAATCCGTATTTGTGTTGTGTGGATTAGGAGATTTGAATTAAAATCTAGCTCGTGTTGTTATATTGCAAGGGATTTGATACGAAAGAGACGATACAATGAATGTGGGAAAGATCATCTCAATCGTATATATGATACAAAAACTCTATTAACCAAGTATATATATACACAAAATTAGGGCTACACATACTGAAAGATGTCCTAAGGCTAATACAATAAATACACAGTTATACACAATAACACCACTCTCAAGTTGGAGCATGCAGATTTCGAATGCCCAACTTGCGAAGAAAAAAAATCGAATTCACGCTTCCCAAGCTCCTTGGTGAAGATGTCAGCGAATTGTTCCCCAGAAGGAACATGAGTAGTACAAATGAGATCCTGTAGAGCAGTATCACGAACAAAGTGGCGTGACAGTCCACCTCTATGTGCTTGGTGCGCTCATGAAAAAACCTGACTCTGATACGGGGATACGAAAGAGACGATACAAAGACGGTGGGAAAGATCATCTCAATCGGATGATACAAAAACTCTACCAACCAAGTATATGTAGTTATGTACACAAAATTAGGGCTACACATACTAAAAATAACGAAAGACTGATACAGTAAATACACAATTATACACAATAACAAGATCTTTAATTTGTTCATTTGGCATTTATAATTGTGTACGCATAATATGTGTTAAGGTATATAAATTCTTTATGTCACTATAAACAACAAATCATCTCATTTTTTTATCAAGTCATATGTGCACCTCAAATTAAATTGTAATGTTTTATGAATTGTTTTGAGTATATGTTTGAGGTTGAGGTGACTGGTGGATGGATTTCACATATTTGTTAATTTGGTGGTTTTCATTAGGCCAAACATAAAACTCCAATTTTCTGTAATTTTTATTTTTATTTTCATTTACTTTTCCCTTTCCTAATAATTGACAAGACTCCCTAGCTCACTTAGCATTAGATAGCTATATTGCATGAAAGGTTCGCAAATACTTATGTGTGCCAAGGCTTGTGTGAATTACAACTCTCTCAAAAAGCGCGTGGGACAAGGTAAGTGAGATAAGGTAAGTATTGTTTAAATGAGACATGTGTCTTATTTTTATAGGGTAATGAATTTTATATATCATATTAAATAAATTAAATTATCAACTATATTTTATATTAAAAAATAAAAATAAAAATATCAAAATTCATAATTTTTCGTTCTCTACAAATAGAGATCACATTTGATAGATTTTGGAATACAATTAATTTATTATTTTTTATAATTAATTTATGTTATTAGAAGATGATGACGCAAATCTATAATAAGATGAACATGTTACATAGTAAGATGAACATGTTATATAATAAGATGAACATGTTATAGAATAAGATGAAAATGTTACATATTTACAAAATAAGGTGAACATGTTGTAAAATAAGATGGATATGTTACATAATGAATTGAACATGTTATAAAATAAGAAGAACATGTATAAAAAAAATAAAAAATAAAAAATAAAAAAAAATTAGATGAACATGTTACATATTTACACAATAAGGTGAACATGTTACAAAATGAGATGGACATGTTATAAAATAAGATGAACATGTTACATAGTAAGATGAACATGTTATATAATAAGATGAACATGTTACATAGTAAGAAGAACATGTTATATAGTAAGAATAAGGTTTTAAATAGCAGGCTAAGACGTTTATGGCACTGTAGCTATAGCGGAGCAATAGCGGAGATATAGCGGCTAAATTGCACACGAATACAAATAGCGGCAAGCTGCCAAAAAAAGTTATTTCTCAAATAGCGTCAAATTTAGCGAGCTATTTATTTCCTTGAGTAAGATGAATATGTTATATAATAAGATGAAAATGTTACATATTTACAAAATAAG